GACCATTTGCCCCAATTACCACTACAAAACTAAAGGTTAATGTAAAGTTTGCAAAATAAAAAAAATAAAAATAAAAAATCAAAGGTTAGGGACCGATGCTACAATTTCCCTTAATTTAATTTTATATTTTGCAATATTAGCAGAAGAGGTCCCAATCTTTAACCAATGTAGCAATATGATCCTAATATAGCATCTAAAGTCTAAATCCTCAATCTTGTTGATACATTTTTATTGCTTTCTCCTTTTTTTCAATTTTATCAAGAGAGAAAATAATTCACCTCCACGGACATGATGCAGTGATAAAGCAGGAGAGTTCTTTACAGAGTATCAGAGGTTTGAATTCTTACGGCAGCTGGAGGGCAATATTTATGCTGGAAGGCATAGGTCATGTGGAAGCAAAGTTATGATGCGTTTTATTGTCCCTTTGGAGAACATGTCCACAAGTCATAAAGGAAAGTCCATAGGGAGGAAAATCGCATCCAGAATGTTTGATCCAAATGTGTATAAGTTGCAATAGCATCCGAATTTACCCAAGTGGTGAAAAAAAATAGAATGCCGCCACTATTCAAAATTAATCGGACGAAACTCGAACATTTGAGTCACGAGAGAGAGAGAGAGTACTTCTCCTTAATTAGAACATTTTATGTTGAACCACCATCTCCCAAAAATTATCCAAGACAAAATATTTTCAATGTGAGCGAGAATACGAAATGACAAACTCAATTCATTTGTTACTTGAGAAAAGTGAGCTAAACTCAGAGAACACTGTACGAATTAATTATCCTTTTCATAGTGAAGCTTAACGATATATTAATATACAATTAATTTAGGATAATAAGCACAAAACACTCCTATTATTTGCATGTTTTGTACAAATCGTCCATATCCTTTTATTTTGGCAAAATACACCATATATCAAGAAAACATTATGCTAAACCTCCTTGAAGTTCGATTTTTACATCAAAGTCTTGTGAAATGATGAATTTACCCGCCTGTATAGATAAACAATAAAATATAGAAATAGTTGCAATCATGTCGACAATTTTTCAAAAAATACAAATGAGTCCCATTAAAAAAATGTAGCCTCAGATATAGAGTGACGTAACAAAGCAAGTAATTAAACAACCACAAAATAACGGTGTTGACGAAAATTAGAAGACCAAGAAAAATCAATGTAAAGCATTACCTTTTAGCAAGCAACTTGTGAAAAGACAGCTTAAAACTAGCATTTTACTTCTTTTCAAACCTGGCCTGACATGGTTGAAGCCACTTAGAGGATTTCAACGAGCCTGTTAAGTATTTTTACTAGTCGAAACCATTTTTTTAAAGAGAAGTATACATAAATCCTGCTTT